TTTTTTTTTTTTGACACACATCATCAACTTACTCATTTTGACATTTGGCTGTCCTTGGTTTTCTGCATGCTTGTCCGCTGAACTTGGATTTGCAGATCTTATCTTCGTAACCGGCTTGCATCAATCGCCAATCTATCCATCCATCCATCCATCAATCCATCCATCTATCAATCAATCAATCCAGCAAGGAAGATCATGATGGCTTCTGGTTCTTCGTCTGCCCGGTTCATTCTCATTGCTGTGGTGATGTCAGCGTTGGCTATCCAGTGGCAATCATCTTTCACCATGGCTTGGTGCCCTTCTGTTGGAGACCGGTGTGGCCTCTTAGACCATTGCTGTGATAAAGATGCGGCTGGAAATTGGTTAACATGTCCTGTATTCGGCTTATATTGCGAAATATTGTGTAAGGCTGGGACCCGTCCTTGTCCAGGTTTATATCCTGGACTGATAGGTTGCTGCCCAGGGGACCTGCTGGCAGTCGAAGCGGGAGCCCACACCAACTTGGCCACCACCACCACTGACAGCTCCTAGCGGGTGGGGCCCACCCCACCCCGAAAAAAAAAAGATATGTCCTCAGATATTACCAGTGCACTATCTATCGCGAGGACCGTGCGCTTTCTCTTACCCCTGAAGAAGACCGATACTGGCGAATGCGGTCGGGTAGCGTCGCCAGTTCATGCTTTCGTTGGAAATTCTTTACGCCATGACATGATTGCGCTCGGGGAAATCCTACGTGTCTGTTCTATTTTTTTCGTCCGTCCCTGCCTTTATCTCGCTCGTCTGGTCAAAAAAAAAAAAAAGAAAGAAGATCTCGTCTGGTCTATCACTTGGCAATTCGTTTGTCTGCGTGCTGTGCTTTGATTTCTTATCACTAGTACCCATTGCAAGGAAAAAAAGTGCATTGCCCCTGGGGAGAGAGATCGACTACGGCACGCAAGTGACTCAATGCCCTCTCCTAGTTTGCGGCCCCGTTTTTTGGATATTTTGTGGGGGGTCGAAAAGTAAACGAAAAAAACAAATAGAAATATGGAGTTGTAGGGTTTGACGAATTTTTAAAAACGAGAAACGAAAATTGGATTAAAAAAAAAAAAAAAAAAAAAAAGCAGGAATTTCTTTTTTCCATTTTTTTTATGACTGATATGGACTTAAGAGTACTAAAAATTTTGCACAGGTTATTCTCTTTTTTCTTCTTCTTCTTCTCCTTCTTGTTCTTTGCTGTTGTTTTTTTTTTGCTGTTTTTTTTTCCCTTCGTCTTCTTTGCTGTGTTTTTTCCTTCTTATTTTTCTTCTTCTTCTTCCTTGTTGTTTCTTTTTTCCCCTTCTCTTCTTCTTCTTCTTCTTCTTCTTCTTCTTCTTCTTCTTCTTCTTCTTCTTCTTCCTCCTCTTCTTCGGGCAATTCGGCCGCCATGGTCAGACACAGACACAGACACAGACAGAGAGAGAGAGAGAGAGAGAGAGAGAGAGAGAGAGAGAGAGAGAGAGAGAGAGAGAACAGGTAAGTCGCCAACCTGGGGGCTGGCCTGATGGTACTTCCATCTATAGGATGAGCAAAATCAAATGAATCCACCGCTAGAACATGGAAATGTACACTGCCACACTTGTTGTTTGTTTGTTTTTGTATTTGTGTGTCTTTGTTTGTGGGTCTGTGGGTGTGGGTGTGGGTGTGTGTAAGATAGATGGAGAGAGACAGAGAGACAGAGAGATATACACGTGCAACAATAGACAACAAGTGTGAGGTTTTACTTTCGCAGTATACACGTCCTGTCCATGGCATGGATGGAGAGAGAGAGAGAGAGAGAGAGAGAGAGAGAGAGAGAGAGAGAGAGAGAGAGAGAGAGACAAACAGGAAAAAAAAAATGCTCAGCCGGCCTCCTAGGCCGTGGGATCCGAGGCAGAGTGCCACATAGTGGGATGGTAGTCCTGAGGTAGTTCGTGAATGATAGCGAAGGATAGTGAATGATAGGCTAGATGATTTTTTGGTGTCAATGGTGTTATGGTCTCTGTCCCAGTGTCCCTCTCTTCCATATCCTTTGCCTATTCGGAAACTCTCTGTCTGCCTCTGTCTGCCCATCCGTCCATTCACCCCCCCCCCCCC